CTAAGCAGTGAGCATGCCCGAGGAGGAGGAGGAGGAGGAGGAGGAGGGACGGGAGGGAGGCGAGAGGCTGGCATCGGGATGGAGCAAGGCAGCTAAGTGGGCAGCCGGGGAAGCGGGGGCACCGAAGGCGAGGGCGGCCCTAGAGAGTGACCTGCGAAGCAGAGGTGCCCAGCAGCCAGGCTGCCCTTGCTTACTTCTTGGTAGGGTACCCCCTGGGCCAGCCTATAGGCTGCCAGGCTCCTGCCCAGCGATGCCAGAAAGAGCCCCTCTCGGTCTCCCCGGAGCAGCAGCAATAGCAGCTGCCACCACCCCACCTGGCACTGCCAGCCACGCAGCGCCGAGCTGAGCCCCTTGGCAGTTCCCCCCAACACGGTTGCCAGGACAGACGGGGCCTGAGGGCACGAGCCAGCCTTAAGAAGGGCGCCTGCCGCAAGAGATGTCTGGGGACAGTGAGGAGATCACCCGCCTTCGCAAGCCTCGTTTCTCCTATGAGGAGAACCAGATCCTGATCCAGGAAGTGCGTGCCAACTATGGCAAACTCTACGGCACCCAGAGCCGGCGGGTGACGGTGACTGAACGCCGGCGGGTCTGGGAGGGCATCGCCACCAAGATTAACAGCATCACTAGCTGGAAACGCACTGGCCAGGAGGTGCAGAAGCGCTGGAATGACTTCAAGAGGCGCACCAAGGAGAAACTGGCCCGGGTGCCTCATTCCACCCAGGGGGCTGGCAACGCTTGTGACGAGACCTTCTCTGCTGAAGAGGAGACTCTCTTTGCCATCCTGGGGCCCGGCGTGATGACAGGCACAGGAGGGGCAGAGCCTGCGGCCTCGCAAGGCACATCTGGCTTTGTCCCCCCCGGTTACCAACTGGCTGCTGAGCATGGCACGGGTGAGTACCCATGGTTCCAGGGGCAAAAGGGCCAGTTGGGCATCAGGGTGCCAAGGCTAGAGCAGGCATGCTTTGGACCGGCTCGCCAAGGCGTGGGTTGGCATATGGACAGAACTAGGACCTGGGTGGAGATGGTTGCCAGGCTGGTTTCTGAATGAAAGAGGTACCCAGGCCAGACTTAACCTGAGAAACGGCGACAGGCTTGCCAGGGTGCCTCTGAACATGAGCCAACTACTTCCCTCCCATTGACAAGCAGATAGAATAGTTTTCTCTATTTTAATTAGTCACTCCCACCGAGGTTTCACAATTCTGTGTCCTACTGTTTATTTTCATTACTCACTGTTTGGGAATTCTGTATGTATTTTGAACTGGTTCACAACCGTAATAAACTGTATCTCTTCATCCCTCAATAAAAGGAAGTAATCTTTCGTATAGAGGTGTGGGGTAGCACGAGCCTTCCAGATGTAGGGGGTTAAGGCAGAGTTTGAGCCCAGCCACCTTCCCCCCCCCCCGGTTTTAAAGA